GCCGGCGCCCTCCTGCTCCTCGTCCAGCACTGCCCTCCGCGCCACTGCTCTCGCTATCAGACACGCCCTCTCCACCAACCCTCCCTGCTCGCCCTCTCCCTCTCCACATTGCTCCCCACCGCAGCCGCCACCAGCAGCATCAGCACCAGTACCAGCACCGGTACCAGCTCCAGCACCATCGCCAGCGCCAGCAGCATCACCACCACCAGCGCCAACAGCAGCATCAGCAGCACCACCACCAGCACCACCAGCAGCAGCACCAGCAGCAGCACCACCACCACCACCAGCACATCTCCTCTGCCGTTTGCCTCTGCGTTTCCTGCTCCACACCTCGCCAGGCACCGCCCTCTTCTGTGCAGAGGCACCAGCACACCTGCTGGCTGCAAACATCGAGTCTGACGCAGCCGCTCCCGCTCCCACTCCTGCTGCTGCTCCCGCTCCCGCACCCGCTCCCACTGGTGCTGCTGGTGGTGCACGAACGCACGATCCTGCTGCCTCCACTGCTCTCCGCCTCGACGGTTGGCGCCTGCCTGTGAGGAACGGAGAGAACCGAGGAATGCTTGCTACCAAGTGTTTTGCTGCTTCTGCTGCTTCTGCTGCACCCACTTGCTGCTGCTCATCCTGCTGCTGTCTCTCCTGCTGCTGTCTCTCCTCCTGCTGCTGCTGCTGCTCTAGCTGCTGATGACCCATTTCGTTTCGAAGTCCCGCAATATCCCCTCCTCCTGCCTCCCTCGCAACGCGAACCAGTTGCACTCGTCCCTCCATATCCTGCCCGCCCAATCCCAAGCCTGCCACCTGCTGTGGTGCTGCTAGTAGTAACCCCTGCTCCCCTCCCCTCCTCCCAACCCCACCTTCTCCCTCTCGCCCCCCCACTTATGTCAAATGCCAAACGAGGCCCGATCAACCGCTCTATCCAGCTCGCCCCGTTTCCCCTCCCCACTGATCCCCTCCCCCCACTTCCCCTTCCCCCCATTCCACTCCCCCCCGCTTCCCCTTCCCCCGCTTTCCTCCTCCCACCTCCACCACTCTCTCACTCCCACTGCTTCCTCAGCAGCCTCCTTCCCCTTCCCCTTGCCCCGATCCTGCTCCTGCCCTTGCTACTTCCAGGGGGGAGGCTCTACCCCTCAAATGCCAGCAGGGGGAGGCTCTATCTGTGATGCTTCTGTGCCCTGTTCCGTCACCACGCCCAGCCGCTGCCACCAACTAGGCCACTGCCGCCCAGGCCACTGCCGCCCAGACCACTGCCCGGCCCAGGCCACTGCCGCCCAGACCATTACCGCCCAAGCCGCTGCCGTCACCCAAAACGCCTGAAACACCACCACGAATGCCACCTGACGACCCAGCTGCAACACCGCCTGCGATTCCACCTGACGCACCACCTGCGATTCCCACTGAAGGCCCCGCCCAGAATTCAAGAAACCCTAAATCAGGGACAGGGCAGCTGTTGCTCCCCACCCCACCGCTGCACTGTTGGCATGCCTCCGCCACATATCCTCCACGCCCCCTACCCTCTCCGCACCCCCCTTCCCTGCCCAAGACCCCTGGCCCTTCCACAACACCTCTGGCCTCTCGCATTGCGTCCTCCCCCCTGCCCACTCACGTTGTTCCCCGCCCCTTGCTCCCTTACAAACCTTCTCCTACGGGAGAACTGCAGAGGACTTTGCCCCAGTCTCGTCCGTGCCTCGCCCCTCCCTCCCCTACCTCCCCTGCTTCCTACCACCACCCCCTGGGCCTGGTTCCCTCCTCTTCCCCACCCGCCTCTCCCTGCGGGACTACTCCCACTTGCCCTCCTCCTCCTCCTCCTCCTTGCCTCAAAGCTCCCTCTGCTGCCGCCTCCAGAGCTCCCCCCGTCCCTCCCCTGCAGCAACCGCAGCACCAGCCTATCCCTCTCCCTCCGCCCCCTAGGCCTATTACCACTAACGCCACTAACGCCCCTAACGTCCCCTAACGTTCCTAACTCCCCTAACGTCCCTAGTGTTCCTTACGCCCCTTCCGCCTCTAACGCCTGTAACATCCCTCTGCCTCTCCTCCCTCTCCTCTCCCCCCCTGTCTCTCCCTCTCCCCACTCTCCGCCTCCCTCCCTCTCCCGCTCCGCCCCTCTCCCCGTCCCCCTGCCTCTCTCGTCCCCTCCTCTCCACCCCTTCCGCCAACGCACCGCCTCTGCTCCCCTCCTCCTCCCCTGTTGCGAACTCACTGCTCCCCCCCTCCCCTTCATCCGCTGTGAAACTCCCCTGCGAGGTCCACCCCTCGCCCTCCCCGAGGCCTCTCCCTCAGATGCATCAACAGAGACCCTGTGGGCACCTCGCCTTTCTCCTTCCTACCCGCTCTCCCTCCCACTCTTCCTACTGCCCCCCGCTCCTCCCACTCCTCCCATTCCCTCTACTCCCCTCACTGCTCCCCCTTGCGTTGTGCTGCCAGAACCCTGGCATTCTAAACGCCTGCCCTTGCCGTCCCTCGCCTCCTTGAAGCCCCAACTGCGGCCGCCACAGCCCCTGCTGCCCCAGCTGCCGTTGCTGCCGCTGCTGCCCGTGCTGCTGTGCACCTGGGAGTGCGAGAGGCCCAGGAACGGAGAGCTGGTCTTCTGACTCTGCTGCCGCTGCCACTGCCAGTGCATGCTCGTCTGAACCCCCACTGTCGCCCGCTGGCACCTCTATGGGCTCTGGTCTCGCCCTTGGGCGACGTGTCGTGGTGGGGGTGAGGGCAGTGGCAGGAGGGGGAGCAGTGACAGGAGGAGGAGCAGTGGCAGGGGGGGAAAGCAAGAGGCGCAAGATCAGCAGCAAGGACCGCAAGAGAAGCAGCAGCAGCCGCGGGAGCAGCAGCAGCAAGAGGTGAGGTGGCAGAAGCAACGGGTGAGGTGGCAGCAGCAACGGGTGAGGTGGCAGCAGCACCAGGTGAGGTGGCAGCAGTGCCCACGGCTGCTGCAAGATCCGTATTGGGATGGTCAGCAGCAGTCACAGCACGAGTGGTGACAGGAGGGGCAGCATAAGCGGCAGCAAGGACAACAGGAGCAGCAGCAGGACCACCAGCAGCAGCAGCAGCAGCAGCAGCAGCAGCAGCAGCAGCAGCAGATGGCACGGGCTCATACGGATCGTTGACCTTATTCAGCCCTGTAGTCTCATCATTGGGCTCATAGGCGCCAGCCAAAGCAGGCAGAAACGCGTGCTCTGTTGCAGAATGGGTACGTTTCGGTGCCATTACCGCCAATCCTACTTCAGCAGCAGCAGCAGCAGCAGCAGCAGCAGCAGCAGCAGCAGCACCACCACCACCACCACCACCAGCTGCTGCAGCATCAACCACTGGCGTTGCCTTCCATGCTGTTGCGTGGTCTGCGTCAGCAGCAACCTCTCTGGCTATACATTCGCCAGTTACAAGAGCTTGCAGCACAACCTGCTCTGACACGCTACCACCGCACAACTGGGAAGGCGTGTCAGCCGTTTCAGGCCCAGCTACCCTGCCCTCTGAGACCTTGCCTTGAGCTTTTCTCCTAGCCTCCTCTTCTGTTTCTGCTACTGCGAGCTTGAGCCTTTTGGTGCTTCCCTCAGCGACTAATCCCGGGGGGGCACCAGCAGCACCAGAAGCAGCAGCAGCAGCAGCAGCAGCAGCGTGCATGGGCGCTCCACACTCCTCGCGTGTTCGTACCTGGTCTACTGCCCGTGGTTTGCTTTTGCTTACCACCCTTGGTTGGTCCCCTTCCCTTGCTTCACCAACTCTCTGTTGCTGACCCACCGATCTTCCACGGCTTACAGCCCTTACCCACCCCCCAAACGATCCGCCAACTGCTTTCCTCTGCTGCCGCACCGAGCCCGCCTGTGAGCCGCCTGGTCGGCACAGAGAGCGGTTCGATGGGTGCTGTGTAACAGTTGGACAGCAGGAGACGGGTCGGCAGTTGTAGTGGTCGCGGTAGTGGGCAGGGTGGCAGCAGGGGAGGAAGGGGTTGGAGGAGTAGTGAGAGCAACTGTGGTTTGCAAAAGCGGACCGGATGCAACGAATTTCGGGAGCGAGGTGTCGCGTGTCATCTCGAGCACAAACGCGTCCCACTCGCCTCCTGCCTTCCCCCTCGCACACTCCCCCCACGCACTCTCCCCCCTCGCACTCTCCCCCCTCGCACTCTCCCCCTTCTCACCCTCACCCCTCTTCCCACAACCACCACCCTCCTTTTCCCCACTCCCATTCCCACTCCCCTCCCTTCCCTTCTCCCCACTCCCACTCCCCTCCCTCTCCACAGCACTGCACTTCTCCCTGTAGCCACCCGCCCGGCCTCTACTCCTAGACTCCGTGTCTCCACCTATTATCCCTGTCCCCGTCCCTGGTCGCATTCCTACCCCTTCCTCTCCCCCTGCCCCTGTCCCTGCCCCACCTGCGCCTACCCCCCCACCTGTGCACCCCCGTTCCTCCCCGTCCGCGTCCTCGCCAAACGCCTCCCATCCGCACGACACAGGCACCTCAAACCGCCGCGCCAGTCCCCCAGGCGGAGTTCCCGGGAGAGGGGTTCCAGCAGCCGGAGTCCCCCCAGGCGGAGTCCGCGGGAGGGGGGCACCAACAGGCGGAGTCCCCCGCGGGAGGAGTTCCCCCAGGCGGAGTCCCCGCAGGTCTCTTTCTCCGCTCCACACGTGACCCAGGCGATTTTCGACCCTGCAACTCCACCCCCTGCTCCCCCTGCCTCCTCTCCCCAACCTGCCTCCCCTCCGCCCCCTGCCTCCCCTCCCCAGCCTGCCTCCCCTGCTCCCCCTGCTCCCCCTGCTCCTCCAGCTGCCGCTTCCTGTTGCTTTGACTAAAGGCGCAGCCGCTGGATTGTTGTTTTCTTGACTCTAGAACGTAATCACTCGTCTTGCTTGGGTGAATGTTAACCTTTTCTGTGCTTGCGTCTCTACCAACCTCTCTCCTTCCCCCGGCCTCCGCAGTTCCGCCTGCTACTCTTCCACCAGCAGGCCCCGCTCCACTTTCTCCTCCCCAGACGTTCCCCCAAACGCCCGCACGTCCATGCCCATCCCCTTCCGCCAGCGCCCTTCCGCCCATGCCACCACCGCCCCCCCCGCCTTCCATCATGTACGACCGACCATACTCCCCCTCCCCTCGCCCGCCGCTGGCCCACCCGTCGCTCTTTCCCCCTGCTGCTCGAGCTCCCGCTTCCCGCTCCCCTGGTTCCGCGCCCGTCCCCCTGCTCCCCTCTCTGGAGCCCCTGCTCACTTGCGGAACCAGGAGCGGTGGCGGAAGGAACGCCTCCGCGCGCAGAGGCGCACAACGACCGAGACCCTGATCTTGACCCCGACTGCGGAATCTTGAACTCGCCCCCTCTCACCCGCAGATCCGCGGAAGTTCTCCCCTCGCTCCGCTGCCCGCGCGAGGTACCCGCACTGCCTAGCGCCCTGCTAACCGGCGTACCAAGGGCCTTGAGAATACTCTGAGGCGGGTAACTTAATTCCCCAACGGCTGCCCGGCTGCAGCTCCTGCTCCGTACCACACTTGGCGGCGGGTTAGTTAAACTCCTGGGAACTGACAGGCTCCGCCTTATCAGGCCTTCCGCTTGCGTCATTTGAGGCGGTTGAGAGGGATGAGAAGGTTCAAAGGGTTGAGTCTCTTGGGTCGGCTTAGCCGGTTGAGTGGTATAAATCGGTCGAGAGGGATGAGAGGGTTGAGTCCGTTGTGTCGGTTCCCAGGCTGAGCGCCGCTTGAGCAACCGCGCCGTCTCCAATCCCTCGCGCTCATCCCCGCCACTACGGTCCCCGAATCTCCCGCCTTCCCCTCTCTCCCGCCCCAGCGACTTAAGGTTCGGTCCATGTGCCTGACTAGGAAACGCGGTGACGGCGGCGGAGGCGGAAGCGGAAGCGGCGGCAGAAGCGGAAGCGACGGCGGGAGCGGAGGCGGAAGCAGAAGCGGAACCTGTAAGAAACGCCGGCCTTGCCACAAGTCGTAGCGCTCTCTGCCACCAGTCCGCCCACCCCGCCGACGCTGCACGTTCCGCTCGGACTCATCCGCCGCCGCTCCGGTTTTTCGCGCTGACGAAGCCGATATAAGCTGAGGTTGCGCGGGAAATGCGGGTGCTACGGGCACGCTGCCAATCCCCCCAGCCAATTCCGCCATCAGGGCTATCGCCGCCCAGTCTTCCCAGCCCGGGGGAACACCCCCTAGCGCCATCGGCGCTGTCAGCGCAACAGGCGCTGCTGCAGACGTCGCGCCAGCGGGGGCTGCGGGGAAAGCGGGAAGGGGGGGCGTAGAACCCGTGGCGGGAGATGAAAGGGGGAAGAGCGGAAGCAGTCGGGAGGTTGCTGGGCTTCCGCCACTATCCCGCCCGCGGCTTCCGCTGCCCTCACGCCCGCGACTTCCGCTCCCCTCACGCCCGCGACTTCCGCTCCCCTCACGCCCGCGACTTCCGCTCCGCTCAACCAGAGGCGCCCACGCGCTGAGATACGGGTGCGCGGCCTCCTGTCCCCGTTTGCCCGTCGGGAAAGCTGCGTCCCGCGAAGCCTCTGCGCGCGCGTCTGTAGCAGTTTGCTGAAGCGGTTGCGGTTCGATCCCCGTGATTGGTCCCAGCTGAGGTGGGTTACTCCAGAGCATTGTACGGGGCACGGCCATTGGCCCGGACGGCGTCGCCACGTCAGACGACGCCGCGTCAGCTACTGCAGTCGAAATCGTTCTAGCAGTTACAGACCCAACAGCTTCGGATGACCCCAGTCGGTGCCTCGTAGGAAATTCATGCGAGCCTGCAGATCGTCCTAACGACGGTCCCGTTGGAGACGGCGCGAAAACCGGTCCTTGAGAAAACAGCCTCGATCTCAGTCCGTTATTCTCGGCAGGTAATAAAGACTCTGAGCCTGACCGAGGCTCTGATTGCCAGCCTAGGCGATGCTCTGGTAGCGAGCCCGAGCCACGCGTTGAGAGAGGTCCTACACACGGTCCTTTTGAAGATGGTGTGGACATTAGCGGGTCGTGGCTAAACGGTGCTGAAACCGACGGTAGCGGTCCTGAAAATGGCGGCGGTTGAGCGTGTGAGGCCGGGGATACAAGAGACTGGACGAACGGCTGGCCTATCAGGTCAAACGTGAGGTTCTGTGCTACAGGAAAAGCTTTGCTCTTTGGTGCGGCGTCGTGCATTGGAGTCGCCTGGACGGGTCGCTCGGAGGCAGCAGGACACGACGAGTCCATCGCGACCGTTGGTTCGGCGAACGGAGCGTTGAGATGCGGTGGGGTCAGAGGTCTAGGCGAATCGTGTCGGCTATTCCAGCCAGTGTCAGGATTCCAGGTCCAATGAGAATTCTCCATTGTAACTATACGGCTTGTATAAATCCTCTCGACCGGCTTTCTCGGGAGAGTGCCTAATGTGCGCTTCGGGGGGTGTCAGTCTATGGAGCTTATTACACTACTGCTTGTAAAGGCCTCTGGAATGGGACACACTCTGTACTGGCTAGTAATGGTTTCTCAGAACTCATAAGAAAAAACTACTTGCCTCGCGTAGAAGCCTGTGGAATGGGACACACTCGTTTTGCACGACCTCGTACTGGGAGAAATGAGTGAGAGGGAAGCAAAGAGACGCGCGGCTGACGCAACAACTAAGTTACTCCGCTGGTACGCACAGGTCTTTCTTCAATTCTGCCAGTCCAGCAGATCATAAAAGGACAAAATCCATCATTTTCCTTCCGCTCAGCATTTGTTTCTGCTTCTTTATGGCAAATGTAAGAGCAGGACGTGTTTTTTTTATGAATTTATGATGTCTCACCGCAAGTCACGCTCCATCACAGACACTAAGGAAACCGTCGATTGCAATCGTCACGTGGCTCTCGTCTCATCCTGGTAACAACCCCAATGCCAGACGAACCGCGACCCAATGAGAAGGGTGTGGCCGTCGAGTCGCCTTCGCTGGCATAAGGGAACCTCGAGAACAAACCCTTTTTGCCATAGCGGTGGCTGTAGAGCGGATGCCTGGAGTGTGTGTTGTGGCTGGCTGCTGGCAAAAAAGGGAGTTTCCTTTTCACGCGGAGGCGGCACGGTAGAAGCTGAGCAAGAGTGTCCGTCGGTCCTAAAGTGAAAGAGATCTCTTCCAACAGGCCGCATCCATTCACCCGCAAGAGATTTCGCTGGGGGCACTGCTGCCGAATCCTCCTCACGAGGAAACCCTCGTCACGCAATGAGAGCTTGCTGGGAAAACCCAATCCCAATGCTGCCTAATCTTGATTTTTCATGTCCCGCGCAACAGACGCATGTGATGATCCATGTGAATCTCACGTGATGCGCTTGTAAAAACGAATCAGCAGTCGACAGCTCGAACTGTCTGACTTGTGAAAAGCTCCTGGAAGCAAGCCCCTCGATATTTGACCTCGATGATTTTCTGTTGAACTCGTTTGCTTTTCCGAGATACCCAGTTGTAGACAAAAGAAATCCCAGTTGTCGGGAAACCAACTTATGGGTGGACATTTTTTTCTTTACGGAAATAGGGAAATCCTCTGATTGATCGCGAAATCCACAGATAGACAGGAACTTGGTTCTGGATGGGTTGTGTTCCTTTTCCTTTTTGGGCCAATGATCGCTTCAGAAAGTAGGCAATCGCCAGCCTTTTCAGCATTTTGGTGAAGGGACAAGCTCCAACGCGTGGCAGTATCAGAAGCACCTGGCCAATAGATCGGTCTAGAAAATGTGAAACAGCGCTTTGAAAGTTCCGTAACTGTTCATCAAAAGCAGCTGAGCACGGTATAGTGCAATCTAAAGCGGTTCTACCACCTCGTCACTTTCAAACTAAACTCATCAGTACGAACTGAATATTGCAATTTTCTAAAGGGGCTTAGATGCACTGTATATTTTTTAATTTAATTTCTTATTTCTTTTTATCTTTATATGGGTTTATAATTTCACAAACAACTGCCACTGGTGCTAGAATTTTTTGCTATTGTGTTTTCTTGTATGAAACATACTAGACAACACGACAGGCTTCACTCATGGTGAAATCGGAGACAATGTTGGGGAGTACTGTGTATCTGGCTGTGCAGATCATTCGACCCTGAAACATGTGGTTGTGTAAGGAATTTTCTCGGCATTCCTTACGGAGCCGACTACATCGCGTACAGCAACAGCCGATTGTTCGCCCGTTACTGCTAACGGAACTTCGCCGACTTCGCGCGAACTGTTTTACCAAACCTCGTACTGCTGGCATGGCCGTATCGGCCTACGCTTCGGGACTAGCCCGAGCCTCGCTCAACCGTAGCACTAGCAAGCTCGCACGCACCGCGTTACCGTTTTGCATGTTTCGCGTATAAATGTTCGCTCATGCCTTCGCTCACATTTTGTACTCGTTTGACACCTTAGTGCAATTCTCGCTACCTCGATTCATTGCACCCGTAACACTTGGTTATCAGAGCCCCTTTCTTTCGGACCGCGCATCTCCGCACACCAGGAAATCAACTTTTGATTTTTCACTCGAAGGGACTCACGCACCTTAGCCCCTAGGAGCCGCTGTCCTCGCGTTCTCTCATAAACGCGTGCAGCCACGACTGCGCCTAGACTAAGACGAGCCGACGCCCTTCGTCATGGCCGAGAATATCGACGTCACCACTCTCACGCAGGAGCGTTTGAACGATTTGCTGCGACAACTGCACGAAAGCTCCGAGGAAATCGCGGCATTGACGGCAGAACGCTCATCACTGCAAAATGACCTCATGAGAGCACAATCCCAAGCACCTGGCACTCCGATTCAACCTGCACCCTCAACATCACAACACGGGAGTGTGGGGCAACCCGCGAGCGCGGCCAGTGATGGCGTCGTCCGCCCCGACGGAGACGACGACCACGGCACGACACACCCCAGAGCGACGCCTGCGGCCCCAAGTCAGCCTCGCGTCACGATTTCGGCACCAACCCATGATTCGGGACTGCCGTCACCGATGCTGCTGAAGCCGCAGCGCCCGCCATGCTTTGACCCGAGTCAACGGGGTGGTCCTACCGTTCAGGCGTGGTTATTCACAATGAATGTTTTCTTCGACGCCAACTACGTCTCGGAGGACTCGGCGAAGATTCGATACGCCGTGTCGTTGCTGCGAGGACCCGCCATGGACTGGTGGCGCGTCATCGTCACGAAGCCGACCGACTACGCGACACTACCGACACGGGAAGGACAAACCGGACCCTGGGCGCCGCCGTATTTCGTGGAGGTGCCCCAGTATCGCACGTGGGACGCGTGGTGCGCAGGTCTGCGCGCTCGATTTGAGCCAATCGCGGCCTCGATCTCGGCGCGACAGAAGCTCCGCACTTGGCGCCAACTCGGTTCCGTCCAGGATTACACGAGCGGATTTCTGGCGCTATGCGAGCAGGTGGGCTACATGCATGAGAGCGAACGCATCGACCGCTACATCGGCGGCCTGAAGCAGGACATCGCTCAGGAAATCCAGCTTCGCGGCGTCACTGAGTTTCAGGAAATTCTCGCTATGGCGGAGAAGCTCGACTTCTTTCGCCGACCGAGACCGGGGTCCTACGGAAACAACACCTGGGGACATCGGCCTCGTGGGACGAACGAGAGCGCCACGATACGCGCCGTCGCCGCAAATGCCGCTGCCGCACCGTTCAAAGGGCGCTGCTTTGCGTGCAATCGGCCGGGACATCGCAAGAGCGAATGCCCGGAAAACGCTAAGGGAAAGGGGGAAGCTGAGCAGCAGACACAGACCAAGCAGCAGGGAAACGCTGGAAGTCAGTAGCAGACGGGCCCTCTACTGACAGGTCACGCCGCTCGCCCGACCCAACCGACCCTCACCGAGTGATTGTGCCGGTTCACGCAATCGACCACACCCGGCCGAATAAGGAGGGTACCACGGTAGATAGCCCTATACTGCTCAGTGGGAAAATTGGGACGGACTTAGTTAAAATCTTCGTAGACGGGGGGAGCCAGCCACAGCCTCATTAACACTGCTACAGCACGCAAACTGCGACTGCCACTGGACCGATGCTTACCTGAGATCGACGCACGACTGGTAGACGGCACGCCGCTGGCAATACAGGAACGCGTAGACCGAGTTCGGATTCGATGCGGGGGTAACTTCACGTTTAGTCAGGAATGTCAGAATGTTATTCTTATATTCTAGCCTGTAGTGGGGTGCTCTATAGCGAGTACAACCCTTCTAGGGTTTGCTATTTGTATCCCCATTTCTGCTAGTTCAATCCTCTTTCTTCTTCTAACTTTTGACATGCTATCAGAGCAGGTCGATCCCCTTGGATCGATCCTCTGGGTGGGCTCACCACCTCGTTGCTTCCGCTGCAACTGCTACTGCTACTCTCTGTGCCGCACGCCCCGTGGCGTGCGGCATTTTTTCTTCCCGCCCTGCGCCCCGAGGTGCACGGCGGTTTTCTGCCCGCCGTGCGCCCCGAGGCGCGCGGCGGTTTTCTGCCCACCGCGCGCTCGGGGCGTGCGGCGGTTTTCTGCCCACCGTGCGCCTCGAGGCGCGCGACGGTTACCTGCTTTGCGCGGCGGTATTCTGCACGCCATGCGCTCGGGACGCGTGGCGGTTTTCTGCCCACCGCGCACCTTGGGCGCACGCGGCGGTTTCGCGTTCCGTCGACCCGCACGCCCGTCCCCGTCGACCTGCGTGCGGCTCCTC